CCGTCATGGTTCTCGTCGTGGAGGGCGCGAGACGATGACATGTGGCAGTGCGCAACCCACCGTGAACGCGCCTATGGTGGAAGCTAGGAAACCATCCTAAGAAATCGTTTGTGTTAGTATAACCTTGGCGGCGTTGCTCTAAGTCTGCTGTGCTGTCCGCGTGAATCTGGGGCCACTTTCCAGTACCCTTTTTTTTAGATCTCCCTCCTCCGTTCGATACAGCGTCCACCATTGAATTCTCCGTTCAGTTCGTTCTTACCTTGGCCTTCCTTGGGAAGCTCCGTTTTTTTTTGCTATGGAGTACCTTGATGTCCTTTACAGTTCTAAGGGTGACCTTACGAGCACATGACCAACTTCGGTTTGTCTCCCTCCACTACTGTACCACCTTCTGGGTCTCCCTTTTCGCGAAGAACGTGCTGCACTGCCAGATCGTGGGCTGTAGCCAGGTCCAGAACCCTCTCTCCCTCAGCGTTCCTCGTTCCTATCCCTCTACCTCCGTGCACCCTTTCCAGGCCTCTTCTGTCACTGCCGACGTGACCATTCAGATCACCTGCTATGGTCAGGTAATCGCCTTCCGGAATCGATCTTATGGCTTCGTCCAGGCTCAGGTAGAACTCGTCCTTATCACTTTCGGGGCAACCGGCTTGCGGTGCGTACACGGACGTTATTGCCCAGTTGCCCACTTCCATTCTCACAGTCCATAGATTCGATCGCTGATCATCACAGCGGAGACATAGTCCTTGAGCAACTCCGCACCGCTGTGGTTACGCCATTCCGCTCAGTTCTTCTTCGCTGTAGTAAAGTTTGACACCTTCCCCTATTTCATTGACTTTAGCTCGTCTGACTGGAGTTTTGATCTGCCGGCTTGTGAACCTGGTACTAGAACCATTTTTGCAATCTCTGGGGCAGTATATCTGCTTTTTGCAAACTTTTTTTGAAATACTCGACAGGGGGTCGTACTTGTCAGGCTGGGTCATGGGGGGTCGTACTCGTGGGGGTCAGTAACATCAGTGGTATCGTGGTGCAGATAGGAGTAAGAGGGTGTAGCGCAGCAGAAAATGAAATATCTGAAAAAACAAATATTCTTTGCAGGTTCAGTCGCTCCATTCCTCCACCTTCATGAGAAGGGCGTATTTGAAAGGCAGTACAAAGAATGAAAGTGCATCCCCGCAAAGAAGACTGCCACATGTGCGCACGCGCTGCAAAGGCACCTCCTCTATCCTATCGCTCGCTCCTCCCCTTAATACCTCGCTGAGAATGACACTGTTGTTAGGGACCTGTCGCAAAAACGACAACCGTGAAGGAAAAGCCCTGGGCAAATGAAGTGTGTTCTCAGGTTGTAGGAGTTACGAAATGTGTTTACTACAATGCAGCTTCTGTCAACTGGTCATGATCATATGACACCTTTCAATCGATTCTGCAACTTCGAGGAGGTCGGATGCATGGCCTATACCAACAAAATCGGATGATGACGATTGCCCCTTTTCTTATTGCTTATGTTGGAAGAATGTATTCTAGACACATTTCGAGCGTTGCCAACGAATTACACTTGCAATGGTGAAGAAGGGAGCGGATTTTTGAGCGGCCGAGAATCATCCTCGATAGATCCTCGACGCAAATATCTCCTCAACTAGGAATGTAGAAGGAAGCTAAACATACTGTTAGAAAGCGCAAACCTTCCGCTTTCCAAAACTGTCTTCGCTTTTTCAAGATCTTGCGAAATTAGAGAGATATTGCCTTTTAAGTGGCAAAAACTCGCATGAAAATTTCAGCATCCTCGACGCTCCCTCGACGGATTTTGAGAGACTATATCTCTTCGAATGGAAGGCTTTCATAGCAATTCCAATACTGCCTGATAGTAGCAAATCTAGCTCTATCTAACCCTACCGCGTGCTGTTCAAAAGGTTGGAAATGGAGGAATGGAACCTTTTCATCGAGGGTGTAGATTTCGACGGTTTTTTTTTCGGGATTTCAGCAAATCTGACCCAGTGACAATCGCGCCGCAGCTGCCGTTGAATCGGCCGTTGATATACACTCGGCTGTTTTGATATACTCAAGCAGGAATCAAGATTGAATCGCAACCCCGTGCCTTCAGGATTTCTGTGCATTTCTGAACGAACCTGACTTTGAGGTCACACAAAGTTAATGCCTCTTTCCTCGAGTCGATATTTCAGTAAATACACAAAAGTGTGCAGCGATGAAAGAAAGTGCATAGATGACAAGAGGCGTTTACAATATTATTTTGCAGGATTTTTTGATAATTAATTAAACTAATTGTGTATGAGCTGTTTTAAAGGACGAATTCACGATGAAAAAGCAACCCATTTCAAATTAACCTAGGGATGGTGAGTGGTACACGAAAGAAGGAAGAACCATGAGAAACGGCCCAGAACCCGAGAAATGGGACCCCTTCCTTGCCCGTTGATTTGAGCATTGATGCGACTCTCATCGCTGTGCCCTCTTCAACACTACGCTCTCTCAGCTATCTAATCACTCGCCACGTATTGAACTACGGCGAGTGATCAGGAGATCGCCGGACCCGCCAGCTTTGAGGCATGATAGGTCGCCGAGGTCAAATTTTTCCATGCGAATTGCGCGTCAGTTCGCACCCTCAGGAGGTCCGTGGGTCCCTCACAGGGTCAACCGTCACGTTCGAACATTTTCGGGATTTTTGCGACCCCCTGTTTTTGTTAATAAGAGTGCTAGACATGAATCCGTTGCGCCAGAAAGCGTCTGTGCCGCCGCAGACAGCGTCTGCATTGCTGCGTCAGCCTTGGAGCGCGGCAGGTATCACCCGGGCGCTGGAAGAACGGGACGCGGCGAAGAAAAAATTTTAGAGGGAATAACTTTCTTGGGACGTATTTTTACATATTAGAATTTGTTGATGTAGATTGATCCCTGAGGCTCGCCTCAGAAAACTACGAGATGGCCTAACTCTAAAGTACCCCACTCGACTAGAAAATCAAAACCCAAATCCTAAGAAGCGCACCTCCAACCTTGACAGGATCATAGAATTGCCTTTCGTATGCCACCCACAGCACCCGAGCACGCGACGGGCACATTTTGGGAAATCACTGGAAAACTTCAGACACTCAAACATATTCTAACAAACGGCCTCAAAAGTTGTGTGGAGCCCCTTAAATTCAAAAATTGGTCCACCGTTGACACATTTTTCCGTGCAAAACGAGTTTTGCACAGCTTTCAGCAACCATAACCCAACTTCAATTTAACAATTCTGAATCAACTTTTATCCATCAATAAAAGCACAACGACTTTGCTCTTGAACAAGCCCCAAACCCACGGGTTTCCAAATTCATTTTGGCAAAATCACACGTCGAACATGTTCCCATAGGTATGTTTGAGCAGTACACAAAGTTTTGAGCATCAGCCACATTAATACACTTCTCAAAGAACTCTGAAGAGCCAAAAGAAACATTTTGAAACTACGACAGACTGCGGCTTTCTATCCCAGAACACGTTTTAAAAACCGGTTGTCGGAGAATCGCCTCAATAAATCAGGGCCCGAAACAAACCTAAATTAATCAGCCCCGAATGACATCTTCCATAAAGAGCATTCAAACTGTCTCAATCTCCAGAAAAACCCGTATCTATTCACTATAAGTACTCTACTGGCAACGATAATCGAATCTAATGCGGTCTGCACAAACAATTCTTGCCCTCGGATACGCCACGCACGCGCCAGTGTGCTGACAGTCCTCGAAATTGCGACCCCCTCCGACCAAAATGCGACCCCTTAGGTTCGCCGAGGTCGAATCGCGGTTGCCAATTGCGCGTCAGTTCGCACCCTCAGGAGGTCCGTGGGTCCCTCAACTAGGTCAGTTTCCCTTTCTTCGACCTTCATTCTAATCGTGAATTCCTCCTTTAAGGGGTCGTGCTAATCGACTTCAGGAGAGGGGTCGTACTTTTGCAACCACGTCCTCGACACGGTTTTTACCCTGGTCTCTACTGTGGTTTCATGGTCAAGAATATTGAAGCGTTCAGAGATGCTGAGTTTTGGCGACCCATCCCGAGTTGAGGCTTGTTGCACCCGGCCCTTGGACGCTGGCACCAATAAAGTGTTGGATGGCTCCTGAGCACGACTT